AACTTTTCAACAGCATCTGTAAACCGCTGCTGGTCAAGCAATAGTTCGCCACTTGGACACCGTCAGCGCTTGACGCCGTGAGCTGAGCATCTACAGGTGCCTTACTAGTAGTTAAGGGGTTCGCTCTTATGAGGAAACATTTTCATTGTTTTCCTAAAGGTTGCCATGGCTGCTCCAACTTGATCGGTTTTATATTGAGCGACGGCCAACTGGATATGACTGAAAACGAAGTTGGGGTCTAGTTGCGAAGATTTAATGTAATCCCCCTCAGCTTCTTTGAACTGCTGCATGATGAAGTTCACTGTTGGTATAAGCCGGGTTATTTGATATCGGGGAGGAATGTAGCATAATAACTCACCCTGTCCACGGTGATAGTAAGTGTCCGCATCATTTGGCGCGTGTTTAATAGCTTCCTCAAAGGCACGGAAAGTAGCGTCGGTGTCACCAAGTTCCATGTGAACGCTGGCAATCTTCACCCAAGCAGGGATAAAAGTCGGCACAAGCGCTAGTGCAGCCTCGAAATCAGCCTTGGCATCCTGGGATTTTCCAATCAAGAATCTGAACCCTTGGTCAATTAAGTGCAAAGAAAAATAAAGGATTCTTTCGACTGACTTGAAGGTCCCACGCAGAGTAAAAGCTTGAGCTTTGCCAACGTCCCAAGACTCTGATATCCCTTGCTCGATCGACTCATTGGCAAGTGTAAAGGCATGGGCATAGTCCTGTGCTTCTAATGCTTGATGGGCGTGAACGAGTGTCTGGTCTCCTTGTGTGCGGGCCGCAGGTAGCTCCGGTAACGGTCCTGCGGGAAGCAACGTTCATCCTTCGGTGAGGTGTCGAGATAACATGACTTACGCGGACGGAATGCGGCAAGGTAGGCATGAATGAAAGCAAAGGAAGGTAGTCGTGGCTCACGTTTCTAAAATAAGTCTGTTGGCGTGGCAAATACGGAGATCGCTCGGATAACACGAACGGCCATGGTTTCTTGGGCTTCTCTCTGTGCAACTTTTTTTAAAACGCGTTCAAGCGATGCGCTGGTAGCGTCATTTTGGAATTTATCAAATATCGTTGCCGCCGTAAAATCTGATGGTGGAGTAAATGATTACACAAACCATTCGCATTCAACCCGCAATGATGAATGGCCCACCTCGTAGTGATTCGTGGAGCCGTCCCAAAGCTTCCAGGGCAGTTGCCCTGCGGTTGAGAGCTTTTATGTACTTCGCATCGCGCTTGAGGGCCTCATCACAATCCTGAACTACTAGCTCATATTGGGGTGGCGAAAAATTGACGTAACCTAAAAGAAAATGGGTTAATTAACATCACGGCCTAATCACCCACAACAAAACAAAAGGGGAAAAAATGCACACATGCTGCACGATTACTGAAGTAAACTGCTTCCGGGGAAGGCGAAATCTCAATTGCTTGGGTGTAATACTCGACAGCGCGGACGAAATTCCTTGCGGAGTAAGCAGTATTCCCCTTGGTTTTCAGAGAGTTTGCCGTTGAAAGACGATCCTAAAGGCAAAATAAGCCCTGGTCCATTCAGTTGACCACGATTTCCATCTGACCTCTTTCGATAGTGCTTCAATCTCGGCTTGGGTGAATTTTGGTACATCCTCTGTAGCCCATACATCAACAACAGCGGAGAGAATTCTTGTAATGGGCATAAACGCTCACCCTCTTTTGCTTCGGTCACTTTGTTTTCTTCGGGAGCCGGGGGTTTAGGCGTCCGTTCCTCCAGAATTGGTCCATCTTTCTCGCCAACCTTGCTCTTATGCTTTCTCTTCTTTTTCTCACCCCCTACACCACCCTTCCCTGAATCAGTGTCACTCTTCCCCTTTTCCGCAGAGGAGTCCCCTCTTGTTCTCGGTTTAGTTGTGTAGAGGTAGTATCCTGTTGCTCCTGCCGCTATGACGGCAACTGTCACGCCAACTGCGACAGCCTTCTTGTTCTCAGATACAAAGGATTGAGCATGCGATACTAGAGAGTCGCCAGAGGACGAGGACTGGGCCGCCGGCATCTTATACGCGTCCTCGCAGAGATGCGAAGCTGCCGGGAAAGCGCAGGCCCAAAATACAAAAACACGGCTGGATTCTTTCGGCTGATACCGAGACGTGTGAAAATGAGTGCGGAAACTCATATTGAACATCGCCTACATAGTACTATTAACTAGCATTAATACTGGTTTTGTCCTGTAGTTTACAGCTCCTTCTTGGCCGAAGCTCCCTCACGAAGATTCTTCTGACTTCGAAGATCGTCCATCACCCTTAACCTTTCTGGAAGCGTGGGATGCGAGTGGTGATATGCGGAGTAACTAGAAGACAAGATTAAAAGATTACGGCAACTGGTCGACAAGGCCGATACTTACAGCCAGTCAACCCAAACTGACGATAGGTTCTCCTTGTGCAGTCCAATAAGTGCTTTGGCGAGCCTCTCGCCCATGTCATCAGCGGCAACACCATCCGTAGAACCGTCTTTACCCTCTGTCGCAGCCTTCTCATCATTATCTGAAACGTCCTGTTCAAAAGCGAACTTGTCGGCTTGCCACTCGAAATATCTGCTAACGGCATTCATTGCCATGGTCAACAGCGCTTCGACTGGGGTAAAAAGATTTTGGAAAAGCATGAATGATATAATGATTGGGGGGTGACGAGCAACGGAGGTTGGGAATCCGAAAGATGTTAACAACGACGCGGATTGGAGGAAAGCTGGGAAGGCAGAAAAGAGGAGAAGAAGGTGGACTTCTGAGATGATCATCAGTTTGAGGGGATGCGAGTACCACCAGTGGCCAAGTTCATGCGCTGTCCAAACAGAATGTTTAACGCTGGGTAAAGTCGTAGTTATTCAACCATACCTAACACTGCCTCGATCTCTTCTGGGGCACTTTGTTTGATCAGCGTATCGTAGATTACTATATGCTTGCTCCATGGAAGACCATAAAAGTAGGCATTAGAGTGAGCACTTCGCTTTGAACCATCGATGACATAAAGATCCGTTAGGGGGAATTTAAGCCGGGACGCCAGCGCTTCGATGCGAGTCCGAAGAGGACCTTGTGGCAAGGGCGAAAGCTTGTTGAACAAAGGCTGGATCACAGTAGGATAAAGGACCACCATAACAAGCTGGAAGGCAATTCTAGATCGCACGACTGTAAGACAACGGTGCGTATACGGAGACGAAAGACATACAAGAATGACATCAGCCAGGGAATGAATCCGTCTCCGGCCCAACGAATTATCCACAGAAAACCGGCTAAAAAGGGACTCCCGATGAAAAATGTGAGGGCCCAACCCTTGAGGGTGTCGGTGATGAACAGTCTGACATTCATTTTGTTGAATCCGTGCTTTTCTTCAAGAACGAATGTCTGATAATACGACAGTGGCAAGAAAGGTATGGCCGAAGCAAGGAGAAGTATACCATGAAAAGGATTGACTGAGGTATCTAGATTGAAAGGGATTCACCAACTTGGCATGCGCTGTAGCATTGCAACGTACCTCGTATCCAACGTAGCCCCACTTTGTCAACCACTCCCCAGCGATTTTCCAAGCCCAGACTTGGGCGCCGGCATATATCAGTCCTATCCCCAGGATTTCACCAAACGCGCTGTAGACAAACGCAAACCGCGCCTTGTCTCGGCCATAGTTCTGCGACTTCTGGAACGTCTCCCCTGGAAAATGCTGGGATAGAGCAGGGGGAGGAGCCTCCCTTGAGTAATAGGGATATTGTCTGCTCCTTTAGAAGTGCCATGACCTTCGTACCGCCGCCACTCTAATAAATTCGACCATAAAACTCACAGAAGATAGGTCTCCAAGACGTAGACGCCCAATGAAAAAAGCACGACAAGATTCTTCCAGTCGACATCTGCGTCAGCTATTACTTTGGCATAGTCTTGGATGCAACGGAGAGGACTGAGGATTGCGTCAAGGAAGGACATGTTGATTGCGGCAGCGCAGAGTCTACGTGGAGGCACAGCCACATGTCAGGTTTCCGTAGCTTACATAAGTTTACCCGCCCACATAATGCTACGTGATTAAATACGTGCCCAAACGCACCCCACCGTTGTATCACCAATTCATTCAAAGCTTCGATAACTAAAGAAGTCACTTCCTCTTCATCTCTACGTGAACATTCTGTATACGTAGGCAGGACTCCGGTCTCTATATTAGATACGTTACACGTCCAAAGGTTGCGCTTAGGTACTACAGTCTTTATCATACAGGGACTGGTAATCTGCCCAAGCGTACGACCTATCGGGACCCACGGAGGCCGGTAACCTGCCTGGGGACTAGCTTATAGATGCGTTGTACCATTCCCATCCCCTGTAGATTCATTGATACCTACCAGCCATCTCCTAATGGCACGAAGTTGGCTGAGAATCATCAGCGGGATCCCACGCACTGTCTCACGCACTTTACTAAGCTATTCCATGGACTCCTAAGCATATCCCAACCACGGTGATCAGGTGTTTTGAGCCATAAAGTTGTGGTGAGCCAGCCACAAACGAGGGGGACGCTTGGGACTCGGAGATGTTACACCGATAATGGCTCCAAAACGTCTATTGTTTCCATGCAACTCTGGAATAGAAGGGCGGGGTGCACGCGGTGCAGCCGGTGACTCTTCGATCCGACCTTTGCTTCGGTGGCTTTCCCGGAAGGTCAGAGATACGATTACTGCTGCCCAATTAGGTTCTGCTGCTCTCAGATCGCCTCGAATACTCTTCCTTAGTTATGGACCGCTTAATAAAGGCGTGATAATTTGATTCCCGAATGAAGCTATCCTACCACCTGCAAGCACACCATGGGCCCTAGTCTTTGAGCCATAGATCGAAGCTGAAAACAACCCTGTCACTCAGAAATGATTTATATATACTGGGCCACCTCGTGAAAATTGACGAGCCTAATGCTCAGCGTCTATCCGTTAAGATGAAGAAATCCAAAGCACGCAACGTTTGGGCATTGGAATCCAATTCGAATCGAATCACTGAATTAAGTCGGATTCCAGTTGTTTTATAGTTCTACCAGGGGCCTTTGGGAATTTTTATTCCACCTGTGAGATCAGATGAGGTACGACAACTAAACGAATTCACGGCAACCTACAGGTCCATAAACAGTTTCCACAAAATGCTGAACGTGATACTTTGACACCCGTTTGCTAACAATCTTGTCCCGAGACCACGGAAGAAAAGCCCTCGCAACCCGTCGATCGCGATGACGGCTTTGGCAGCTTCGGCTACACGGAATTTCAGAATAGGGGCACTAAGTACGGAGATGCTTACAGTATGACACTCGGGTCTCATTTACTTGTCGGTATGTCTTGACCACCCGCAGAGAGTTCGAAACAGTATCTGAGGCAAGAGAGGCACAGGACCCAATTGCAGTTTGTCGGATGAGGAGTTGGTGAAAATTATGATGCCGCGGAAGATTGACGTCCAAGAGATTGTACTGGGAAATCAATGTAAATACCCAAGATTGGGATGAGCGGGGGAAATCCTTACGACGCCGAACCAAGGGAAGTATCCAACGACAGTGGCGGCGGCAGTCGCAACAGCGCCATACCATAAACTACCGATCCCGTACATTCGCACTCGGACTTTCAGTACCTTCCAGCCATTCTCACCTTGTACCTGTAAAGTTGTCTTGGCAGTGTCGATGGGTGTGAGTATTATGCGGAACATGGCAGTAAAAATAGCAGCTAAGAAGCTCTTAATGGGGGATGGGAGTGCGTCTAGGGTTGGACTTGATTTGAGAACTGCGAAAACGAAGGTATTCGACGCAGTGTCCCCAAACCGGGATACAGGGGCTTGAACCAGCGCGGTCAACTTCGGTGGCGGGTATTCCTGACCAGGGCTCTATACATACCTTGAATGATCGCTGCACTTATCCCCTGATAATAACGGCCATATCCTCCTTCAGCGAAGAGAGTTTTCGCCGCGACCCAGAAGGGCTTGCCGAACCGATACTACGATGATGTTAGGTTTTGCAGGAGTGCGCGTAATCCCAGGCTCACCTGATAGTTCATTATGGTACGCAACGGCATGAAGATAAACACCTGCAGTACCATGGCTATAGTCTCTGTTGATTATTTGGTTCCATCGGGATCATAGGGATAGCTCACCGAGAGCTCCACTAAGTCCACCTCCGAGGGCTTTCTTTAGGGCTTTTCCAAAATTAAACTGTGAATCCACAGGTCAGCCTCGATATGTCGCCAATGAGCCTGTGATACCGACTAACTCCAGGACGAGAACTGACACCAGCACTTATGATGATGCCTAGTAGGACCCCGCATGACAAGGTAAGAACAATTTTCCAGGCGATGGACGCCCGAGACGCCTTGTGTTCTGCTGCAAGTCCTCGGATGGAAGCGATGACTTCCCCCTCATCTCTATCCCTGTCCCCAGCAGGTCCATCAGCGCCCGTTGCTTGATTGTCCTTCGAGGCGGAAGTTGATCCCAGGAGCGCTGACTGCTCATTCGAGCCAGAAAGGAGCGGTGTCCTCTCATCATCCATGCGCACTCCTGTAAGCGGCTTGGAAGCGCTTGCATGAGAGGACATTGGTTAAGAATTGTGAAGCGAATACTCTTATCTGGTGCAACTTCGGAACGTAGCATCATTAGTAAAAAGCCGACGCTGAAATTACGTGTGCTTATTCTTATTTTGTCTTTCCACGTTATAATTTGTACGTGATGCTCCTTCCACTTTTGTGATGCAAGTCACGCTTTCTGTGGCTGTGTTTTGTCCACTCGGTTTTACGAAATCATAGAGGCTGGAGTCCTGCCTGCACTCCGTTACGTGTTCTTCTTGCCACTTTCATCTCTTTCCTAGCCGCGAATTCCGTCCTCACCCCACTTGAAGCACTCCGGCCAACATATCTGGAAGCAGAACAAAATTTCTAATTATTTTTTGTCTTTCACATGACGAGTCGCATAGGGAGGTTTGCTTGAGCACTCTAGTCAATGTTTTACTGGTATAATCTCCAGAATGTGGTCCCCGGTTGTTGTACTCTGTATTGTTAGTACGTGGCAGTACGGCTAGCCTGACTTATTACATCTGCAATATGTGCAAGGTAAAGCTGTCTGGTTGGTGTGATCGGGGTGACAAGGTCCTCTGGGTTGTGATGTCTGGTTTTTAGTCGTGCCTGGGTATGCGTGGTACCGTGGAGTGTCTACGTCACTCCCTACGTGGGGTTCCTTCCCGTTAAGTAAAGAGAGGCTGGTCACCTGCCTAGCAGGGTTCCTGGTTGGGTGCTCCCGTTCCCTGTTCCCCGCCCACCTTTTTCGCGTGGACTTACCATTTCCATATGCACCTTGATTATGCCGTATTGATTTGATCCCTGTCTCTCCCTCTCTTTTCAGCCTCGGACTTCTTCAGCAGAACGTGTAAGGTGACCGTTTGGCGGCCACCCTTATATCATCTGGGTGACCCCAATCAGGAACGCATTGCAAATTAATTTGTCAAATTTTGGCTCGGGCCATCCCGATGAGAGGCTCCAAGATGTTGGAGTTTGCGAAAAACAGCCATCTTCGCAGGCTTTCCTCACCGGTAAAGAACCATGATGTCTGATAATGCGTATGGGTTACTGTTGCTCACCGTTCTTGAGGTGCGCGAAGTGGTGGTCTGTCTGCTCGTATGTGCATTAAACGTAGACGATGGCGTCAGTCCATTTTGGAAGTATTCATTATGTGTTTCAGTGGCTGGTGTGTGCTCGCTGCTCAATCTTAACCCAAAACTGAAACGCAGTTGTTGGCTTGGACAGGGCATTGGCCCGCAAAGGGGTTCTCGACAAACTTACCCAGAAGAAAATGAACTTAATCAATATCTGGCTCTTCACCCCCTGTCTGCTATTTTCCAAAGTGGCCTTCTCGCTCACGCCGCAAAAGCTCAAGGAACTGTGGACCATCCCCATAATTTTCGTAATGACAACTGCCATATCTGGGATGGTCGCATCGATCATAAGCACTATGCTGCGCCTGAAGAGATCTCAGCGCAACTTTTGTATGGCGGCCTCGATGTTCAGCAATACCAACTCATTGCCGATTGCGCTCATACAGAGTATGGTGTTCAACATCAAAGGTCTCAGCTGGGGCCCGGATGACAACATTGATTCGATGCTCGGGAGAGGATTAGGGTATATGATTCTTTACGCGAATTTCAGTACGATAGTATGCACCGGCCTTCCTAATTCTCCTGCCATAGCCAACCTCTTGACTGGATATTATGACAGGCTCGTTGGTCGTACGGAGTTCATTTGCTAACCCAAGAGGACGATGAACTTACCCAAAGTGCACTCGAGCGAAACATTGGTGCACGCCCCGAAGGATCCTTGATGGTGGTACCTGGTTTGCTGGAAGTCGAACTTCGACCCCTTTCTCCAACCCGCCGAGCCCTAGTCCAAAAGCCAGCGGCGGTCGCCTCCCGAGACCAGGATTCGCCTAGACGGCAGCGCGAGTCAGAGGATGGATGGGGAAACAATCATCCTCATCTGTCATTCCAAACTATCACGTCGCCATCGTCAAGCATATGGCATTCTCGTGCCCGCCGAACACAGAGGGGATTATTAACATTCCTGAAGAAAGTTCACGAGTTTGCAACGTTCCCTTTGTATGCTTCACTTGCTGCATTTCTTGTTGTGCTCATCCCCCCCGTGCAGCATTTTTTGATGGAAGACGTTCCATCTGTGAGGGGCTTCCTAGAAAGTGCTGGCGCATGTTCGATCCCTATCACCATGTTAGTGCTGGGGGCGTGTTTTTATGACGACTCTGTACTATCCCCAGTCCCCCTAATGAGCCCCGAACCCAGGAGAGCAACACGGAAGCGGAAGACTGCTTCCCGCCAGACCCAGAGCAACGTTCCGAATTGTCAGGATTAGTGCATAGGGAGCAACGACCGGACCTCGTCCCCAGCACCCGCACCGAATCTGTGAAAAAAACATTCAAGACTTGTACTTCTGATTTTTGGGCATCTTTCTCGAATTCGCGCAAGAAGAGATTAGAAAACAAAACCACCCCGGGGGAGACGACCACTGTAATTGTCTCGTGCTTGGCTCGGATGGTTGTGACGCCTTTGATCATCCTGCCACCGATGGCTGCGCTGGCGGCGTATGAGGTGCTTGATTTATTCAAAGAGTGAGTCATCCCTGCAGCCAAATATCATGAATTGCTTATTTTGTTCCTTCTCTGCAGCCCCGTATTTGTCGTATCAATTGTCCTGTTGATAGCATCACCGCCTGCTTTGGCGCTAGCCCAGATTATACAAACCTTGTCCGGGGACACGTTTGAAAGACTTTTCAATCGAACGATCTTCTGGGCATACTGCTTGTTTACTCCCCCTCTCACCCTGTTTTACGTTGTCATTTCTTTGCGATTCATGCAGCTGTGACCATCGTTACCCCTTCTCCCTGTACCGCTGAGATGATTAGAATGATATCCTGCAGCCGTCATTCAGAGCGAGGCTTGATACAGTGACTATACCATTGTATGATCTGAGAGGCTCTCTATGCTACTGAAATATCAACGTTTATTCACGACAACCGAGTGGCTATGGCGATATCGGAGCCTTGGGAGGACGAGGTTTGTTTTGTTACAGCGTTTTCTAAAAATTCTGTCTGATTCCCGACTACAACGGTTGATCCTACCCTTCACACTGCATGGCCATGATCAGACTGTGTCCTAAGCTTCGCCATGTGTTCCAGCATGCACAAAAGGCTCCGGAAATCATCAGGTTCTCCTCACCTGCTTCGATTCTCTCTGAAATAGCGACTATGTCATACAAGCACGATCTTAACTGTTCTCAACAAAGATGTTGAAATGCGAGTCACATGTATGTATGGACCGAACCGGAATATTCTGCAGGTTACCAGGCACCTGCCACCTGTTTTAGTTATTTTTCTCTCTTCATTTCTGGACTGCGAGTGAACCGCCGAAGCGGGTTGCCATGTTAATCTGAGCAGCACGAGACATCCTGTCCTTATATACATCTAGGGTGAGTTCTACGCCACTGAAGTGAAACATGAGCAGTAGTCAAAGCGTGAAAACAAAGGCCGAAAGCAACATTGTGTTCACCGTCGATCGCCCCAAAAGCGCCTCCTTCCCAAAGCTCTCAAAGCGTGAATATACGGTCCGGGGACCGCCAGTGGCGTCGGGCCGTAACTTCTAACATGCCAGTCGTCTTGAAGTTGCGGTTAAACTTCGGAAATTCGGAACAGACCGACTGGGTAGGAGTCTGGGTCAATACCATCGGACAGGAATTTCAGTATTTCGCTCGACCTCACGATGATGTGGCAGTGCTACCCTGTCATCGAGGTCCCAAACCGGAGATTACGTAACATAATGCTTTTCTTCGTGGACTTACCATTTCCATGAACTTTTCTGCACCTTGATTATGCCATTATTGATCTGATCGCTGTCTCTCCTTTCAGCCTTGGGCTTATCCAGTAGAAATGAAAGGTGCTCGTTTGGTGGCCACCATTATTTCAATATTATCTGGGTGAGGAACTTAATTTGTCAATCCTGCAAATGTTGGGCGGTTACCAGGCTCGGGCCATCCCGATGATCCACCAAGATGTTGGAAATTACGAAAAACAGTCATCTTCACAGGCATCATGAAGCCCGATAGTGCGTATGGGTTACTGTTACTCACGGTTTTTGAGGTGAGTGAAGCGGCGGTCTGTCAGCTCGTATGCGCATTAAGCATAGACGGTGGTGTTAGTCCATTTTGGAAGTATTCATTATGTGTTTCAGCGGTTGGTGCGTGCTCGCTAATCTTAACCCAAAACTAAAACACAATTGTCGGCTTGGACAGGGCATTGGCCCGCAAAGGGGTTCTCGACAAACTTACCCAGAAGAAAATGAACGTAATCAATATCTGGCTCTTCACCCCCTGTCTGCTATTTTCCAAAGTGGCCTTCTCGCTCACGCCGCAAAAGCTCAAGGAACTGTGGATTATCCCCATTATTTTCGTAGTGGCGATTGCCATATCCGGGGTGGTCGCGTCGATCATAAGCACTATGTTGCGCCTGAAGAGATCTCAGCGCAACTTTTGTATGGCGGCCTCGATGTTCAGCAATACCAATTCATTGCCGATTGCGCTCATACAGAGTATGGTGTTCAACATCAAAGGTCTCAGCTGGGGCCCGGATGACAACATTAATTCGATGCTTGGGAGAGGATTAGGGTATATGATTCTTTACGCAAATCTCGGTACGATGGTATGCACCGGCCTTCCTAATTCTCCTGCCATAGCCAACCTCTTGACTGGATATTAGGCTCGTTGGTCGTACGGAGTTCATTTGCTAACCCAAGAGGAAGATGAACTCACCCAAAGTGCTCTCGGGCAAAACATTGGTACACGCCCCGAAGCATCCTCGATGGTTCCACCTGATTTGCTGGAAGTCGCACTTCCCCCAACCCAACCAGCCCAAGTCGATGGCCCAGCGGCGGTCGCCTCTCGGAGCCAGGATCCACCTAGACCGCACCGTGAATCAGAGGATGGGTGGGGAAGCGATCACCCTCAACTCTCATTCCAAACTATCACGTCGCCATCGTCAAGCATATGGCATTCTCGTGCCCGCCGAACACAGAGAGGATTATTAACATTCCTGAAGAAAGTTCACGAGTTTGCAACGTTCCCTTTGTATGCTTCACTTGCTGCATTTCTTGTTGTACTCATCCCCCCGTGCAGCATTTTTTGATGGAAGACGTTCCACCCGTGAGGGGCTTCCTAGAAAGTGCTGGCGCGTGTTCGATCCCTATCACCATGTTAACGTTGGGGGCGTGTTTTTACGACGAGTCTGTACTATCCCCAGTCCTCCCTAATGAGCCCCGACCTCAGGAAAGCGACATAGAAGCGGAAGATTGCTCCCCGCCAGACCTAGAGCAACCTTCCGAATTGACAGGATTGATCCATAGGGTCCCGGAGCAACGACCGGACCTCGTTCACAGCACCTTTGTCGCATCTGCGACAAGAATATTCAAGACCTGTACTTTTGATTTTTGGGCACATTTCTCAAATTCGCGCAAGAAGAGATCAGAAAACAGAACCACTCCGGGGGAGACGACCACTGTAATTGTCTCATGCTTGGCTCGGATGGTTGTAACACCTTTGATCATCCTGCCACCGATGGCTGCGCTGGCGGCGTATGAGGTGCTTGATTTATTCAAAGAGTGAGTCATCCCTGCAGCCAAATATCATGAATTGCTTATGTCATTCCTTCTCTGCAGTCCCGTATTTGCCGTATCAATTGTCCTGTTGATAACATCACCGCCTGCTTTGGCGCTGGCTCAGATTATACAAACCTTGTCCGGAGACACGTTTGAAAGACTTTTCAATCGAACGGTCCTCTGGGCATATTGCTTGTTCACTCCCCCTCTCACCCTGTTTTACGTTGTCATCTCTTTGCGCTTCATGCAGCTGTGACCATCGTTGCCCCGTCTCCCCTGTTCCTATATACTGGGATCCTGCCTACTGTTCCTACCCCTTTTGCTGAAATAGTTGGATTGATATTTCTCTACAGCATCCTGCTGTCACTCAAAGCGAAGCTTGATGCATAACATGCAGTAACTAAACCATCACCATTGTATAATCTGAGAGGCTCTGAAGTCTCCAAACGAATCCGACCGTCACCGTTTGTAACAAGGCGGAACTCGTGACCCGTTAATTTCTGACAAGAAGTTCCCACGCTCGTGCCAAAAAAGCTGCCCGACCAGCTGCATCTACTTTAGTAGGGGCTGTGATCCTGCCTACCAACTGCAAGCTTTTACACTAGCTTGGGTTTGGGTCTTCCCCATATCAGAGACATCGGGGAGTCATTTGTGCGTATGGTTTTGTCATAACCGCTCAAGAGTGAAGAACTGGCATGTTATCCCCTGGGCGACATGCTCGGCGTCCATCATGGTTAGGCAAAGGCACGGGTGCACCTCGAATTGTAATGAAGCGCGGCTTTGCAATCCATTCAATCTACCCTGGACCGAACGTGGGTGAAGTAGAATCTTCGTCAGAAAAGTATCGTGGTCCGTCATCACGTCGGTCGCCTGGATAATTACCCTTGCTTTGCTGATGATTTCCCACAGTATGCGTCATTGGCGGTGGACATGCGGGATGTGAGGCTGCTGCAGCTTCAGCTAGAACCGGGGCTCGAACGCTTCTCCTTACCCAGAAACTCGATACTATTGGCGAAATGAGCTGTAATCCTTCGTTTGGAGGAGTGGGAAAGGGCACATTGGTTCGGGAAGTAGACGCACTAGACGGCGTGTGCGGTCGGGTTGCTGGTATCTGATCAATTACTTCATTAAGGGTGGCTTTTGCCTGACGTCAGCTTAACAGACAAAGCGGGGATAATGTTCCACATATTAAATAGGTCCAAAGGTCCTGCAGTATGGGTGAGAGGAAATGTGTGCTTTCTGTCTCTACGTACATAACCACCCATTTTCTACATTAGGGTCTTCGCGCCCAAATCGATAGGAAGTTATACAAGAAGCACATGCAAGAAATATTGTTTAATTATCCGAACCTCGATATCCGGGCAGCCAGCGTGCACGACTTACTCTGGGATCAACCATCTATTCCCCATGACACAGGGAATGCCGCCCTGGACAATCCCAATCCCTTCAAACCACCGGTTTGGGCCCAAGTTGCCGGTGTCCGTCTTGGTGAGATTTGCGACCTTGGTCGAAGTGCGGAGCTTCACACTGATTTCTGCGATGGTGTAGACACCGGCGAGGAAATTAAGTGCTCGTCGGTGGTCTTGTCCACAGGTACCTTCCTTTCCGGCGAGATTCATATTGGCCTTGTAGCCTACCCATCTGGGCGCATCAATGACCCGGCGTCTCCACCAGAAGGCCTATCCGCTTCTTTGAGAAAGGCTGGATTTCAGCTTGGAAGACTGAAGACAGGGACACCCCCTCGCTTGGAGAAAAACAGCATAGATTGGAATCATCCACAAATAATAGAACAAAAGGGCGATTCGGACGTTATACCGTTCTCGTATCTTACTGATCGTGCCGCTAACGAGGTTTAATATATTTTTGTGTTCTAGGAGTCGCTTTGCTGAGAGATAATTTTAATTCGCAGCATAATCAAGTATCTTGTTATCGAACACGGACTACTCCTGAAACCCACAGGATAATTCGAGATAACCTACATCTTAGCATCCATATCAGAGAGACCGTTAAAGGTATCATTTTTGCCTTTTGCATGTAAATTCTGATTAGCTTTATGTTTAGGCCCGAGATACTGCCCATCGATAGAGTCCAAAGTCATCAGGTTCACCGAAAAAGACGGGCATACAGTATGGTTGGAACCAGAAGGCTACCACTCAGGTGCGCCTTGGATTTCATGACTTATTGATCTCTCATAATTCGAAGTGGGGATCGTAGATGTGATATACCCGAACGGTATATCCTGTACTCTCCCAGCGGATAAGCAAGAACAAATGCTACGTACCATTCCGGGACTTGAAAATGTCAATATGATTCGACCAGGTTACGGTGTCGAATATGACTGTATCGATGCTCGAGAGCTCAAAGGTCAGATCCTTGGCCTCATTTTTGGGTCTCTGTTCACCTTCACCGTGCAGCAACTCTTGAGACGAAACGTATACCCGGATTGTTTCTCGCTGGTCAAATAAATGGTATGCCAAGGCTCGTACGTGTATTGTCTTGATTGCAGTGAATCCTTTTTTCAGGCACTACTGGATACGAAGAGGCCGCCGCCCAAGGCATTCTTGCGGGTGCCAACGCGGGACTTTCTGCGCTTTATCGATCGCCAAAGAAGCAGTTTGTACTAACGCGAGCGGATGGCTTTTTGGGAGTGATGGTCGATGACCTGATCTCGAGGGGCGCCGCAGAACCGTATCGCATGTTTACCAGTAGGAGCGAATATCGCATGACTATCAGAGCAGATAATGCAGACATGAGACTCACCGATAAAGGTTTATTTGGCTTTCCATCGTTCAGTTTCATTGCTGAACACAAAGCAAGTGTAGGTCGAACCATCGGAATTGTCTCTGATAGAAGATGGACGAAGTACGTCCAATCAATGGATGACCTGAAGCGGATCAAAACTTCGTTAGAACAGCATACATTGAGCCCCCAAGTTCGCAGGTCTGAAAAGAAAAGAATAGGAACGCTTCACTGATAACCTTATCTCAAGGGATGGAATGCCGCAGGTTTCAGGGTTGCCGCCGATGGGATTCAGCGAAGGTACTTTTTATTTTGGTCCTTCCAGCTTACGAAGGGCTCACTCTGCACAGTGCTTACGACCTCTTGGGTTTCCCGACTATCTCTACGCGAGATTTCGTTCCAATCATACCGGAGCTGGCTCAATATCATCCGCGAATCCTTGATCGAATGGATATTGAAGGTTGGAATTGAACCTATCACCTCCCAAGGGAGTTAAGAATGGGACTTTTGTCCATAGGTCGATACCGATTTTATCTCAAGCGTCAAGCGCATGACGTTAAAGTCTTCATGCAAGATGAGGAAATGACTCTCCCGTCCGACATTAATTACGGCGACGTACAGGGGCTTAGCTATGAAGTCCGGGAGAGACTCACAAGACTGAGGCCGACAAGTATTGTAAGTTGAGTCAGATCTATGGCTGCCAATGTATTGATGAATGTCCATGTACCCATACAGGGTGCCGCGAAGCGCATGGAGGGCATGACACCGACTTCACTGCTCCATCTCATTGGGTATATGAGGGGAAGCAAAGGTGTCACCTCAACGAAGGGCATGAGGGGGTCAGGCGATGCAGGATTGTAATGGACAGAACGATCGAGGTCGATGTCATATCATCATTATAATTCCATACGGTGCCGCACATTCGTAATGTGTGCTGGAGCCCATAAAATAAAGGAGTCTCGGTGTTCATGTTTTCATTTCAGTGCTTGGCAGGCCAGCTTTTCCGAAAGTCGTCGTCCCGCCACCATACTTTGTCCCTACTTCATTTTTCAGAGAGGGATTATCAGGCTCGACGATTTTTTATGACTCTACCTGCAACAAGTGCGCTCCCGTCGTCTCCCACCACATGGGGCTTATCTTCTAGATGAAGATTACCAAAATTCTCCTCAACGGAGGCTATAATTTTGGCGCTATCAGGGGCAGCAATGTCCGTAGCTGTCTCATGCTGCTCCTTAGGCTCGTCCTCGCTGTCAGCGGATTCCTCGGCCCCCTCTTCGTCATCCCCAGACGATTCCTCGTCTTCGAAATCGAACTGATGGGGACAGACCATTCAACTCAACTCGTGAGATGAAGATAAGTGCACTCACCGGATCGTAAATCACTCGAATGATCAAGCTGCAGCTGGGACATGTGGCGATGTCTTCGTAGTTTTTGAGCTGAGCTTTGCTAATCTCGAAGCGATCGCCGCACGGACATGGGTAGTGAAAAACTCGCGCCTCTTCGTCCCACGTCATATCCTCAATCTCGATCTCATCATAGTAACCGCCCATGGTTTGCTCAAGTCTGTGACTGCTAAACAAGTCCCTTATGTAATAATTAAAAGCTAGTCACATGGCACCAGGATCAGAAAGCGCCGATATTCAAAACACAAAATCCTTGACGTTGGATATTCAAGTATCCGACACCGGATATAACCAATTGCCTCCCGATGTTTTATCACTGACGTATTGATATTAATGTTATTCAGAAATACCACGTTTTTCAACCCGTCGTATGACAAGGGTATATGCAGTAGGGTTTCTCCTTGCTAGTACTGGTGCTTGCCGAACATAGCCCTGAGGACAACACAAAGGGCCGGCGCATCAAAATGGCCACGCACACTTCCAGCTCTGAATCGTCAGAAAATTCACCCGATGCGCTGACAGTCCAACCCATCCCCCTCCGGCACGAAGGAAGATTACAGAGCTCGTGAGTAACCTTCGCAAGCCACTTCCCTTAACCAAGTGCCTTCGATGGCAATCTAACTCAGGGCCACATACGATTGCTAAGCAAGGAAAACATTTCCGCAATATTTTATGGTTGCCACGACTGATGCTCGGCTTGAGACGCCGAGGAACAGTACTCGACCACTATTGCTGTAGCTCCCATCACCGGAGTGTATTTCACAACTTTGTGTGAGAAGAAGTGGATTTTAACTAGATTGCCCGGTCTCGGATCGTGAACAGAATGCACAACGGAACGAAGAACCCTCGGTACAAGCGTTTCTTCGATATCAGGTAAGTACCTGAAAAGTACATAGCCAGTGTAGAGTAGCGGCATGAAGTGATTGGGGAGATAGCGAAGATCCCAATCAGCCAGCCGAAACCAACAGGACGCCCTGAGTGTTCCGACTCGAGAAGCTGGCATGGAGGGGTCCAAAGGGCAGTATCGACACTACTGATTCGGGGCACAGTGCTGAGTATTCTGGCTATCCGGATCATGCATGTACCGCTTTGGACAACTTGAACACCCGATTAGAGAGATACGCCAAGACATTGATATGGATCCCATGTTCTGTCCAACCTCCGAGACTACTTATTTCACTTGGTTGTGCAACAAAGAAATTTGGACAAGTCGAAGGCTGGCTGCTCCAAACTTGTCCGAGTGCATGGTTATCCCTGATGCAATACATCCATCCAGAAGATCAGGTAGCCAGAAGAAGCTGAGGGTCATTATGGGGATACTTGGAGATAGCTTAGCCCAGAGAACTAAGGTACTCCCACCCTCGATCTCAGGGCGCGTTGAGCAGGATGAGCATACGCCAGCCAGTTATGATATGGATCAAGCCAAAATCGATGGAAAGGTCAAGCCGTGGCGTGTTGAACATCGCGAGTGGGTGATGAAACAAGCATTAGTAAATAACAAAAACATATCAACTTCCGGGCGAGAGGCTTGCCTTACTCTGAGAGGGAATGCTATTAGATATACCTGGGGAACGACTGGAGGATATCCCGCACTAGCACCACTGTGTGGGAGGCACCCACCGGGCCGGAGGTGGGGAGGACCAAAGGGACACCGTGCCGCCGGCAACCCACACGCTCGTGAAGGCAAGTTCCTGAGATCCATGCCAGATGAAAGTGAAGCGGACGAAGCACCGACGCTACTCGTCCGAATCGGGTATGTACATCGAAGAAGTGTTCCGTTCCCCCCCGGATCGGCGGATGCCCCGGGTCTCTCTCTCGGGGCAATGATGGCCTCGACCGTGGCCTCCAAATTAAGTGCAGGAAGTTCTTTGAAGAGCCGACGTCGACGTCGACGTCGAGATCAGGGAGTTCGGTTGTGACCCACTGGGCCCCGTCCCAAGCTCCTTCACGCCCAAACCTTCTCTTCCAACTCCACCCGTTGGTAATCCACGAATCTCCTAGTACCACTTCGCACGGTCTCCCCTCAGCCTCTCTACCCAGTCTACACCTTACACTGAGGGCATTGACGGTTTCTTTATTGCCGAACGGCGGGAAAATACCAAGAAAAGGCTCTGCTTCCTTGTCCACCGATTCGCTAACATCGTCCTCACGCCAGACAAGAGTAGGAACGAGCTCTTTCGAGCGTAAGAACAAAAACCAGTGCCATCATAACGTCACGCTCTTGCGGCGGTGCAGGGTTCACCATGTACCTCGAATCGACTCGGAGCCAAGGCAAGTATCATGAGGGGGGACGTCTTAGGGCGGTTGAGGGGAGGGACGGCCTGGCAGTTGGACAAGGAACGCCAGAAGGCTGAGGACGCGTTGGACGAGGCGAAGAAGATGAAAGCGCTCAACGACCTCTACCAGGACGTTTCGACTCGCTGGGCCAACCCGAGAGAACTGCATGTTATCCTCTCTCCTCCCATCAACGCCGGCGTGAGATCCTCGGAATCCCCCCCTCTTCCTTGCTTCAAGTATCCGGATGACCGTCTTTTGAAGCTCAAGGGTTACCATTCCGGATGAGGAGAGTATAAACCGAACTTTCACGTGGCCATGAAGAACAACGACCGGTTCTTAAAGCGCGGCAACACCACTGGCCTGAACCGTCAGTCGCGCCGACAACATTTCCTCGTACTCCATCGACGGCCTCAGGTTTATCATCAGTGGTTCTAGCGACACACACCTTCCTCGCAATGATCCAAAGACAACGGAGACTAGCTCAAACCCCGGTCTTCACTGCATAGACGCTGCCTTTGATGGAAGTACGTACTAGTGGTTGAATTAAAAATCATTGAAGTTGAATGGGATGAATGCGTGTAGGCATTGAACCGGAGTTTCCCTTTCTCGATCTCGATAAGATGGGCGCTCATACTGCAGTCTGCAACAGCACGTGGCTTGCTCGCTGCTTTTGCTACACTAGTTGCAATACCCCTAAATGGCTAACGTACCCACCCCACACGACATTCGAGAATTAGGAACAGTCGCATCATCTCATTCATAGTGATCCGGTGCAACTTCTACATGCATATCTTAAAGATGATCTATAGGGCACGCCATGAAGAACTCGTTTCGATGCATGTTTTCATTCTGATTCACTGTTGGCCCCACGCCCTGAAAAGTGACTTGATCAGATGGATATGCCGGGAACACATAGTAGTTGCTAGTGGGTCTCTGGAATTGAGATGTTCGCTGAATGCTGCTGGTCATACTAGTAGAGTCATTTCTGAACAGGTTGATCGTTTGGCTCGCATGTACTGGGTCACTTCTCTGTAAAGAGGGATGATGAATGAATGATGAATGACGCATTGAGTAACGTAACACGGTCGGGAGGGGGGGAATAAACGAGCGTCCTACTTGGGTCACTTCTCTCTGTTCCATATTGCTTCGCCCTTGATCACTGGGTTCCGTGCGAAGGGAGATGGCGCCCCCTTCTCCATGTATGATCTGCAATTGTCCCAGAATGAGCGACCGTTGGGTGAATATGGTTTAAGAACAAACATGGAAGACCTCTTGTTCGCTGATGGGTTCCTCGCATACGGCGAGGTTCTGAAGGAGAGGACGGCGCTCTTCGTTCTGGGACATGTGAACGATTCGTCTTGTGTGCTAATGGGTTCGGAGGACAGAGTAGGGTTCTGGAGAGAATAAGGTGCGGTTTAACTGGTCGCTGTAACCATATATATTTAACAACCTATTGTACGACTTGGCGAAGCTATTGGATTCATGTGGTTCTTTCTTTCTTTTCTTTATTTCATACGCAGTGCGGGGAAGCATGAGGTACCTGAACGGAAAAACCACGTGGGTGGTCTTGTACATGTGCATCCCCTTCATGAAATAAGCTTGATGACTCGCTTGATCGCGATCTCGCATTGAGTCGGACTGAACTGTATCCGCACGTGTTGTCGCGTAGAGTTAATTAGTATACTGCATCGTGGCATATCACATGTAAAGTAAAAGTAAACTCATTTCTTACTTCCATATGGCCAAAAAGGTCCCAAAGTAAGGCCGAAAAAGGTGGAATTCCTTTTTTGGGCCTAATATATATTGCAGTGGGTGTCGTCAGCAGGGATTACATATCTATCCGTTGGGGCATTTTGGCGGGGATTGGGCGGGGATTGGATATTAGGATGGTATTACCCGCTTCAGCCACCTCACAGTATAATTATTGGGAGTCGGACTATCAGATGTGTGCCCGGACATCTCATTACTGCTATTTCGCAACGCGGTGTGAGCGTTTCATAGATGGGATGTCATTTACAGTACATAGAGCGCGCGCTGAGGGGCGTGGGAATTGAGTCCCATTTTGGGTCTGAATATTGTTGATATCGGATTTCCGCGTTAGCACGTGACAGAGCATACTTATCCCAACTACAGTACACGAGGGGACTTTCCAAGATCCGAATCGCCTGTTCTCTTCCTTATTTATTGATGAACGTGGGGTTGTTACCTCTGTGGAACCTCGAGGCATGGGAGCTTTGTGAGGCCCCTAACTTGAAGTCGATACCGGAATTGATGCAATTAAGTAGGAAAACTGAGCGGAAAGTTTTCTTGCCATCATTTGACAAGGGGAGCTAAGCGAGGGGAAAAAAGCAAACTTGAAAGAACCCCCCCTAGCTCTATACTATCAAGGCTGGTCACCTGCCTCAGGCTACTCCTTAGCTAGGTCGATCAAAATTGTGCGGATTGGCCATTGAATGCCCTGCACTGCAATAGTACTAATCTCTGGCTCATGCACTGCGATGCACATGTACAACAGGTTGAAAAACATGCCCTGAGAATCCTCCCATATGATGGATCGAACAGCTACCCGATTCGCTTGCTAACTCATTCGGACTTGAAGGTGGCGCATCAACGCGCCAGCCAAGAACATGAACGTCGTTCAAGCAGCTCACAAATGTCAGCCGTGCCTAGTATGTTTCATGCCATCATGTCCCTCAAGGCAACCATGAACATTTTCAGCTTTTCCAGCTCAAGCTCGAAAAATTGTGTATGCACTGTCACTAGTGCTATCGCCCGCGCGCCATTCCGCCACTGCACAAATCAAAAAAAAAAAAAAACTAAACTCGTCTTCCTATATACATCACGATTTCAAGAAGTCCTGCGGACCATATGATCAGGAAGGTTGATCAAATGTCCTAAATGGCCTCATGCAAGGGGTTCCGGAAGTGCATCCACACTAAGTTGAATAGATTTTTTTGACCAAAAAAAAAAAAACAATATTTCCAACTTCTTCACGTGAATTCACGAAACGGTTCACGCTTCGTCAGGCTAATCTCCGGAGATCATTTACAAGTCTTCCTAGTGGACCTTTTTTTTTTGGCTGCAGTTCGATGCTCCTACTCCAGACTTGAGCGCGCTTGCTGGGAGCGCACGGCACGGGCCCTTGGTTGTTCGCATGAGGCCATACCGCACTGGCTTGCACTGCCCCGGCTGAGAGTAGAACAGTTCAACTATCATCATTGTAACTGAATCGATGACATCATTATACCAAGTTGAGGTGTGGCTTATGCCACCCGTGCCCAGGTCATATGTATCTGCTATTGCACCTTGAACAACCGATATCTAGGCCTATAGAGGGGGGTTCTCAGGATGTTCAAAGAGGGCCTAGAGGGCCTCTTTTGTATGGGAACACCCCAGGACGTCCTGAGACGTCCTGAGAATTCACTTTCAATTCAAACTGAAGTCACATGTCTGTTGCTATCCACTTCTGTAGCTGTGTGCATCCTAGAAATTGCAGAATCATGAGTTGGAGTAATAATACGAAATAAAGAGGAATTTTAGAGGAATTTATTGCAAAAGACCCGATGGAAAATGGTTGAGAACTGATGGAGAAATGTGCGATTCTTGGTTCACTCAACACCGCACGGGAGTGGCATGCGTGGGAAATGACATGCAAGGTCAAAGCTCAGTGCCTCTCAGATGTCGAAAAAATACGAGAAAATATGTAAAGTTTACTTTGAAGACATGTATTGCAGTGCGCAAACTTTGAGGACATTTGAACTACTATTCAGTGAGATAGGGGAAATGCACAATATATCCCCCGCTCCTCCCATACTATCTTGCTCATTTTTCCACCATTTTGGATGAGACCAACTGCGTTGGAAAGCTAAGGTCTAGTATAGTTTAATGGTGTAAGGTTAGCATGGTTATGGGGAGCAGTTGAGGCTTCCAACACAATTTTGGGTTTCCAGGCCACTTTCTTATTGTTCTGTCTTTTGTAATTTCTTTTATTAGTGTTCTCCACTTCTTAAAGCCAATTGGAATGTTCTTGAAGCTACCATGGCATATTATCTCTGTTTGTTTCTACAGGGAAAAGTTCATGCATGACAAAATAACTATTTTATGCTGTAGCCTACAAAGCACACAGGCCTAGTCTTTCCACTGTTTTCACATCCATTTCCCACCCACATTACTTGCTCTTTCCAATTTTTTTCTATTTTTCCAAAACCATTTTCAGTTCCCAAGCAGGATTCTTGTGAGGTCTTTGGGGTTGCTCAGCACACCAGTCCATAAGTGTTACAATGGTGTGTATTTTACAGTGGTGTTAAGTGTTAGATCTGGCGGATTTGGACGACTCCAGAGTGGAATTGGAGACTTAGCGTGGAAGGACCTCGGCCTCAGCGACTCATGCAGAGCACTGTGCCATTGCTGGTTGTCCTGGGGGTCCCTAATTTTGGATCTAGCAAAGGAAAGTCTCTTGGGGGGGAAATCAAGTCGATTTTGGACTGAGGTTACAAGTTACTATGTACATTGTATATAAGGAGGGGTCTGGAATCAAAAGGAGCAAGGGTACTCCGAAAGCAGACAAAGGGAGCTGGAAGGAGGAACAACACCAAGGGTCAAGGGTTTGACTCAATGGTGTTTCCCAAAGGAGAAGTGAAGGGCCAAGGCCCAAGGAGGAAGGAAGGAGGATGGGAGTGGGGAATGGCCAGCTGACTGAATAGAAAGGAAGCAGCAGCCCAAATAGGAATGAGGGAGTATAGCAGAATTGAATGGAGCAATGCAATAGTTGCAAGGTCCGAAGTAAGTCTGGAAAGTCCGAACTTGGAAGTTAAACTCTGGAATATTGGCAAAGGTAATTAAATGGAATGAGGTAACCAATACAATGGGTATAAGCGGAGGTGGGGTCAAAGTCTGAGGTTGGAGCTAAGACTGGAGGTTCCGGAGATGGAGATGCGAACGGGGTTCTGGAGCAGAGGTCTGGAGTCAGGAGCATAGGTGTTGTGTGCTCGTCTGGAAGGTGTCAAGGTTGAGGTCAGACCCGGAATGTTCCGGAGTCAGACCAAAGGTGGTGTCAGAGCCGGAGGTGGGATAACCTCTTGGAAGCCGGCAAGGAGAAGGTGACAGAAGGGAAGTAGGGCTCCAGAGTCAGTTTCTGTCAGGGCACACCTGCCTGACCCTGCGCCGCACCCCGCGCTGTACTGCCCTACTCCGCTCCCCCTGCTATCACTCCCCGTCCCTCCTTTCCCCTTTTCCCCCTTTCTCTCTATTTCTATTCTACGGTTGATTTCCCTTTTCTCCATGTACCACTACATACCTAACCCTGCTCCCCTGATCGCTGCATGCACTGCACGCACTCCTGCCTACTGAGCGGCCACCTCTGGGATCTCCTGTGGAGACACCCAGGGAGGTGCGGCTGTGTGTGGAGATGACGTGGCCTCCTCCACGTGACCCTAACCACATGTATATAATAGCACCTGGGGTGGGAACAGAAGAAGCAGCCTTCTTCTCAACTTCCCACTTCAGGTAAGTACTGTAGCTTTTCCCCTTTAATGATAATCCAACTTCCCACTTCAGACTAAGTGGTTGGGGACGCTCACCCTGCAACAGGATCGCCGCTACACACAGCCGACATCTGTCCCACCAAGTCCCTCGTGCCGGGACTTCGCCGCTTTCGGAGCTGTCCCTGACAGTTTTGGAGTTCTGGGAGCCTGGAGTGGAGGTTGGGATTGTATGGATATGACATTAAGCAGTAACTGGAAGTTGCTGCTTGACCATGTGACTCTAAGTACACCTTTGTTACATAAGACTTGGGGTTTGGGGCTATTGCCCTGACATTCTCCCCCTTTGCATTGCATATGTGATGCATACATGGTTAAGGAAAGAAAGGAATTCAAAGTGGAAACATTTTCCAATGAAAGTTTGTTATCGCCACTTTAAAGTGGGCAATGTGTACATTTAGGAAAAGAATAAAACAAGGAAGGAGTGAGGAGTGTGGGGCCATTACTTTGAAGTGAACAGTGATATACAGATATCGTGGGAAAGGGGATGGGAGGGAAATGGAAGGAGAAAGTTTTGAAAATAGATTTCAACCCAAAGATTATATATCTTTGGTATTCCTCCTCACTGGTTCCGTGAGGAGTTGTGTGTAATTGGTGTTTACACATGGGCAGTGGTGGAGGTGGGTTAGATGGAGTAGAAGTTTCTGCAATTGTTAGTTGTGGTTCCTTGCATACAATTTTGTGTGCGAGGCCTTGAGTTGGAGGAAGGTGTTTTCACAGGCACCTCAATGGCATATCACTGTGTCACTTTCCCCTTCTTTGTATTAGAACACCAACTTTGTTTACATCAGGAAGTTGTGTGGTGGTTATTTGTAGCTGTTAGAACTGGGCGAGGGCGGACGATTCCGGAGGGGAACCAGAGACTTAGCAAGGAGGGACCTTGGCCTCAGCGACTCAAGCAGAGCACTGTGTTAGAATGTGGGGATTTGGAC